GAACCTGTGTAAATAATATGTGTTTGGTTTTAAAGGGATGAGGTGTCAACCCTATGTGAGAGACTTAGAAAGAAAATTCTTATGCAGGTGTTGGAAGGCAACATGTTTTTTTTTTATTTCAGACATTTATGGTTTCTTACTGCCTGGTTGTCAAAGAACTATTTGGCCTATTGAATGTTATCTTGGAGTGTAAAGAACAACAAGTCTTTACAACAGGATGTGTGTAACAAAATGCTGCATACCAAAATCCTTGTCCTGGGAGTTTACACATACCCCCTAGCGGTGGGGCATGGAGATAAGTGAGCCTTAGCCTAGACTCCCTGGTGACACAATTATTAAAAGGACAGATAACATGGCTTCTAGCCAGAAGGAAGAAGCCAGATGGAATTGACCTGGGTCCGAGCATTGTTGGCAATATAGCAGTGCCCCTGGTGGAGACGACATACTTCCGGGAAGATGGCTGGGGTAATTCTACACTTCCTAATCAATAGGGAGGACAGCCCCTTATGAGTTATGGACGTTTGTTCATTGGACGGAGAACTACACCAGGCGGGTCAAGGGTGTGTGTGTGGTGTTTGAGAGTGCTTTTAAACAAAGTTTCAGCCAGGCTCTGTCTCTTTGACAATTTTTTCCTACCTGGGATCCAGCTAAACAATACTCAGCTTTGAGGACGAACTTATGTAACATATCATCTTTACTATTATTCCTATATACTCTAATATTTGTTTAGATTTCTCTGTTGGTGTTTTACTTCCTTTGTAAATAAATAAGACCTTGCTTCTTTGAACATTATGTTTGTTATTATAGCTAATATTGCAGTATATTACATCCTTCAATATTGTCAAAGCTTAGATATATTTACTAATTAATTGTAGAAACCTACAAATAGTACATAATTGTATAATAAATAGGGGGATTCCAGAAAACCCACCCCCTTTTATTTATTTCAGCAGGTCATACATAGGTCAAATTTCAAACAAATTTTCTTTTGTAATCCAATGGTGCCACCATTGATTTCGAAAATCGACCAACCAAGCCTTCAAATTCACATGTTGCTACAGAAAAGAATTTGTGGCCAAGAATTTTTTCTTTTCTTTCCAGGTCACAGCTTATGCTTATTTCTTTTTCGATTACATTCCTTGCACAATTTTCCCATCATTTATTAGAAATGTTTTAGTTTTTCAAAAAATTTCCAATATGCCCGATCACTCAAATTTGACAGTCGATTGAAAATCGGCTGTTGCTGTGGCCCACTAATGGTGCAAAATTCGAACAAAACTTCTTAGAAAAGATATTCAAAAGCAATTTCTTTCGGAATTTGACCCATGTTTGGCCAGCTTAAGCTGTTAAAGATCAGTGGTCACATAATTGCTGACCCTTCCTGCCCCCTGGGCATTCAGAATTTAAAGGAACGCCAGAGCAGACAGCAGCCATGAATGTTAAATAAGGTTTTTAACTGGCAACTAATGTAGAGCACTTGATTCTAATGTCATAGATTTGAAGTGGTGGTAAATGTAGCGATGCAACAGAAACCAAGATGTGCACTGCACTTCTTGGTTTCTGCTGCTCTCCACCACTAAGACTGAATTGGCAGTGTTGGCTGCAAAAGGTTTGAATCATAGCCTGCCAGGATAGACAGCTCCTTGGCATACAGACTGTGAAATGTAGGGATGCACACACTTTTTCCATGTGATGAAATGATGAATGTGCATTTTTGTTATTTTAGACAATGAGAATTAATATATCAGGCCCATGGCATGTTTTATTTGTTTAAGTATTCTATCTGTAAGCACCGTGTAAAAAAAGATTTAATGTTCACCTGTTCAAATAAGTTGGAAACAATTAACAATTTCTATTTTCTATGAGGTATTGTGGTATACTGACTGTGTGTGTGTGTGTGTGTGTGTATATATATAGAGAGAGAGAGAGAGAGAGAGACCCTGTTGGGAAAGTAAGTAGTAAAAACCTGCAAAATGAGAGAGTACATACCTTTCTCACTGTTGCCAAATGCTGCTCCATTCAAGAAGTATTGTCCCCCTGAGGTCTGTCCTTAGAGTGTCGATCTCCCTGGCTTCTCCTTCTGATCTACACTTTACTACCGGACACAAACAAAGGAGCACTGCTTATATGGTGACTTACTGCTACACTGTTTTAAATTTAATCTGTCCCAAGTATAGAGTTTTCCATATTACTACTTGGAGGATCCTTGAAAGTAATCCTTCCAGTCCTGATGTAGGATTTCAGATTTCAAGAGTGGGACTTTGTCCCCCTGATGAAACGAACAGTGATTAACTATTTAAGTTAAGGAGGTGCGTTTGGTTTAGTGATCCTTTAATCTCTGTTCAGCTTATTATCCTTACTGTGTGTGGAAGGGTTGACCATTTCCTTATTAATAAAATAAAATTAGTTTGAATTATCAAATAAGGTGAACTTTATTGATAATAGGTTTAACCATGTACTGTATGTACATCTCAACTCCTTCAACACTTATGGGTTTTCTCCTTTAGTCATTTAGTTGTAACATCTAAGCTCGTATGTAATGTGTGCTAAAGTATCCCATATTTTATGAGCGCCAGTGCCAGACAGGTGTGGGTCAAAAACATTTACTTTTGTGGCAATTGTTTGTGCTGAAAGTTTACTTGATGGAAATTTTGCTGACTCACCTAAAATGACCATGACAATCTTTAGTTGCCGGAAGACAATGAGCAAAGCAATGACTGAAAGATGTGCTACTCTCACCATCAATACCTTCTCTAGTCCATAAAAAAACACTCAGTTACTAAAATTTAGCAGTGCAAGTTAATAAGTCCTATGGTTGGAACAAAGCCTTGTTTACTAAAAGTGAAAAATTTAACAGTTGCCAAGGTCATTAAAGATATAAAAAAAGCTAACATTTTTAACTACCAGCGGTTACAGTATATAATATTCAGGATGATAGATGGTGACATGTAGGGATAAGGACAAAGTTGAATATTTATAGACATGTTATTTATTGCAAAGGTGACATTTGTTACTGTAATTATTGTTACTACCGTAGTCTTGTGATAAATGTAATAAATACCTAATTATTACTTCATGAATTGTAATAGGCTTTGAGCTTCATCTTTATTTATTAATCAATAAATCCATAGGAGTCTTCCATACCTCTCAGAATAACTAAAAAAAAGATTGTTAAACATTCTTCCTGCATCCTTGTGCAGAGCTAGAAAAAATAAAGCTGATGTCATGGGTCAGGCAATCAGATGGAGGTCTTGGTAGTCACTAATCTGCATTTCAAATGCTTTTGGTAAAAGTTTTGTAAAGGCCCTAAGCGCATTGTTTGAAATCTGACTTTGATCTCACAGAGTAGTATACACCAACTGTCTTATACTGCATAAAAACCCAAGAACTAAAATGACTCATTATAAAAAAATCTCTTTCTTTGTGGGGTCTAATTATAAAAAAAATGCTGGACAAATGTCACAAATACTTTCCCAGCCATAACTAATTTTTTCCAGCATTTGTCTAATATGCCTATTTCCTATGATTGTCAACACAATCTAGAGGTCATAATGTTGTATGCTCACGATTACAGCATTTTTAAAAAATACCACTTTACTAGCTGACCCTAGATGGAGCTGATGATCATAGGAAATAATCCTTTTAGAAAAAATACAGGGAAAGAGTATGTTTGTGATATTTGTCCAACAACTTTTTTTTTTTATAAACCTATATTGTACTGCTTTATACAAGGTGCATCCTTTTTAACATGCATTCCATGTGCTTTTTTTTTTAGTGTATTGCCGTGAATGGCAGTTCACTGTAAATCCATGGCAAGCACAGATTGTGCATTTGTAATACTGCAAATGAGTTTCAGGTACATTTACCACAATGGCCTTGTAAAAATTAAACAACTCTTATTTATAAAGAAAAAATTAACAATGAACACATCATCAAAAAGTGTCAAACAAGTCAAGTGCATCTAAAATGCAAACAATATTTTCTGATTACACTTAAAGGGATAGTAAAGCTTCAGTTTTTTGTTTAATTAAACTAACAAACATGTCATACTGCAATGACATCAATGCTTTGGCAGAGAGCAGCCCCAATCCTTCCCTTCTTGGGTCCCTTGCCAGTGCTTCTGCCTCCTCTCCCCCGCCGAGTGCCCACCATAGGAAGCCGCTTCCCATGGTGGGCACTCGTGCGGGCTCACTCCCAAGCCAGGCTGCTTGCATCTATTCACATAGCCTAGCTCGGCCCTGCCCCCTGCTGATGGCTCCCTCTGTTCTCAGCCAAGCCCGTGAGACTTGGAGAGGGGAAAGTAGCTGCTGCAGACATGCACAGGACTGGACCTAGATTTTGGGTGAGTATTAAGGGGGGGGGGGTTGTGGATGCTGTAAAGAATGCCTTAAAGTGTTACTAAACCCACAACAGTAAAATCAGTCTGTATATGCAGTAAAACATGATTGTTATACTCACTGTGGAACCTAAGGTGTTAATCCCCTGCATTGTGTAAAAAGGATGTTTGATCCTGACTTCACTGATCTTACCCTTCTTCTAGTGCACCCCTTCTGATAAGACAAATTGTGTGGAGACACTCTCTACATGCTCAGTTTGGTGTGCATTGCTAGAGAGTTTTTTTTTTCTTGGGGGAGTGCAAGTGATCAGCACAGAGCCAATCAGCACTCTCCAGACAGAGGTCAGGGGTTCTGCATCCTCCTAGTGCAGAATGAAAACCCCTCCTACAAGCTTTAACCAGTACTCTGCTGGACACTGATAGAAGTCACAAGACTGCTCTAACTGCTGATGAGAAAAGGTCTAAGGTCTCACAACTGGCAAGCCTCCTTGGCATGTGATGACCCGGCACCACTGCACAGCTATTGGTATTCAGTGAATTTTCAGGACCACTTGCTAATACAAGAGGGCACTTACAGTTCAGGACACTGCTCTAACTGCTGATGAGAAGAGGTACTTAGCAGTTTATATTTACTAAAATAATTGCACTTCCATGTTCTGTGTACTGTGGAGACCAGATATAGTGAATGCAGGGTCCTGGGTTTAGTAACACTTTAAGGTAAAAAAAAAAAAAACTTTTACCTTTACAACCATTTTAAGAGCATGTGCTTTTTTGTACATGTATGTTTACCTAGTAATTACTACTTCAACTGGTTTTTTTTTAAATTAAATTGGCTCCCAGGTGGCTTGTGCCATATTGTGCTAGTACGACATACTAACGCATTATAACAGACTTACCTGTCAAATGAAGCCCTCCAGAGTTGCACTGTCAATGCTCCTGCTGATCCAGGGTGCTTCAATCATCTCTTGGTCTTCCTTCTGGGTTCCGTCTGTTCAGCCGCTTGAATGGCTGGGCCACGATGATGTCACTCCCACGCATGCACAGGGGAATCACATCATCCTGGCACAGATTAGTGCCGTAAATATTCGCAGAGCTGTGCATGCTTGTCTCAGTGTACATTACAGCTGACAGGCATTTGGGAGCATTTATGACAAATGTGACTTTAATTCTGGTTTAATAATAATAATTTTTGCCATTGAATGTTGATATCTAGAAGCTTAAAGAAAACCAAGGATAATATGGAAGCAACAACTGATGACCTCTTCTAAGTCCAGGACATGTTCACCTAATGAGTCACATATTTGTAGACTTGGAGTCAGAACAGTCTGGTGGCTAGAGGTCAGATTGCTTGGGTGGGAAACTGAAAACTCTGTTGGCTGGAAAACAGATGATTCTTTTTTGGGGGATAAAGCTGATCATACACTATATAATCTAATTATACAATCCCCTTTCAGTCTACTATCATGTAGTCTAGTCTACACAGGCTGCAGGGGAGATGGAGAGATAAGAACGCAAAATGCTGGATGCCAAAGCCATTATTGTATCATTCTTTCCATTACCAATACAAAGATCACAACAAGCATCATAAGACATGGGAGGAAATTTCCCTTGAAGTATTTTACCTCTTTCTTTTTCCATCAAAATGTCAGCAATAGCTGTGGCTGCTGCCATATACATGGGCATAATGGTCATAACACAAGATTGCAGCACAACTACACAGTTAAACTATAGAGAAAGTAGAAAGCTTGAAGGAAAACAATGCCTAATGATGTCACATACAATATTGTTTGTCACTGGCCAAAACAAAAAATGTGAAAAAGGTATCAAAAGCCAAAGCCAAAAGAAAGCATTGCAGCTGGACAAGTGTGAACCTAGGCTTAAGGAGAACATACTAAACTGCAGCATAATTAGATGTTTAACCTTCACAAAGATTTTTTTTCCAGCCAGAATAGAGAAGGTGAAGAGTGTTAGAGTTACTGATAGTTACATAGTTAGTCAGGTTGAAAAAAAAAAGACTTAAATCCATTAGTTCAACCAATAGAAAAAAAATAAATAGAAAACCTCCATGTACACAATCCTATACCCACAATTTATCCAGAGGAAGGAAAAAAACCCTTATGAAGCATGGTTCAATTTGCTCCAGTGGTGAAAAATAAATTCCTTCCTGATCTTCGAAAAGACAGTTGAATATTCCCTGGATCAACAATCTCTGATGTTATTACCTGTAAATGTTAATATCCAGTTATTTTTGTGCAGGAGTTAACTCCAGAACACATCCTTGAGATGGTCTTGCTACTTCCTATTGGAAGATCAGAGGGACCAAGGCAAAAAGCATTTAACTATATTAACAAGTCATTACAGACAATGGTGGCATGACATCAGACCTCTTTCGTTTCTGGGATTCTGATGGCTGTGTTAGTTGGATGCCTGGTATCTAAACAAAAACAACATTGGATGGCTCTGTAAATCAGCTCTTTTGAGAGGGAGTCAAAAATAAATTCTAGTGGATCAGCCTAGCAGAAGCAGGTGACTGCTCCAATCATACTGCTACCATCACTATGGTATGTAAAATGGAAAAATGCTGTGCTGAACAAAGTGCATATTGTTGTAAAGTTTGAGACTTGGATAACAAGGCTGGGCAAAAACAGAAGAAAATAAGTATTATGCGGTATTTTCTGTGAGTCGCATTCCTTGGATACCTGGAATAAGGAGAGCCAGGTGTCTGCTAGCTAACAGGTTGCAATTAGAGATGAATAAATGCACCAAAAAATCAATTCAGCCTGTTTATTTTTTCAAATAAAAGAAATCTATGAACTCATATTTTGAATTCAAATTGCCTTAAATTCAGAGGGGAACCATTTTTGATGGCCACTTTCAGCCTTTTGGAGGGCTTCTAGGCAACTTAATGTCACCCAAAAGGAAATGTGGGGGTTTAAATAGCTGTGGAGTGGTAATAAAAAAGAAAAACATCATGCAGTGAGGGAAAGAGTTTTGGGGGCAAAATGGGAAACGCACAAATGTTTGGGTTTGGGAGATGCCTTAAAGTTGTATGGGGTATTAAAGAAACATCAGTGTCTTTGGGGTATTAAAGGGACAACATGAGTGTCTTTCCTCCAGACAGAGAAGAAACTGGGATAACTGCTGGAAGGAGATTTTTCTCTCACTTTCCTCTTATAGTATATAAAGAAGAGCAAGAAGCATAGGCTTTAGTGACAATGAATAATGTGAATAACCTCAAGCGCTTACTATGGTGAATACAAATGTAAATACAAATCAATAAGTATGAAATAAAACTGTAGCCACTAGTGCACACAATCCATGTCTCAGTGGGCTAAATAATGAATAATATCAATGAAAATATGCTGCACTACATATAACAAAATGCACAATACCTAAACCATATATCTATATATAATGTTTAATGTGATGTCAAAAACAGAAACTAAGGGACTCAAAAAAAAATGGATTAATTGTCCAAAAAATGAATTTGGTTAAAGTCCAATAATTTAAGTATTCTCCTGTGACCCCTCCTTGAAATAACGACTACTGTGTACATCTGTTACAGAAATCCAGTGAAAAATAACCTCCAACATATATCTGCTCACCTCCAGCAGTGTGACCTCACATTATACAATGTTTTAGTCTAACTGCACTTTTGGTCCCAAATGTATGGACTTTGAAGATCAAATTGCTGAATGATAGCTCCAAAAGATGCTCCCTCCAGATAACCGCATCAGGCTCAGCCGTATTCCTCATAAACAAAAACTCAAAACAGTGCTTTATCCTTTAAACCTTTTTTTTGCACATTAAAACATAGGAAATGCACTCACATTCCGTAGGTCCATATCTGCACCGTGTATGGTGAACATCCAGTAATGTACTAATTAGGCACAAGATGGCAGTATCATCCCCGGCAGAATAAAAAAACAGTCAAGGCTCCAAAACGTCACTATACACAGTATACTGCAAGGCAATGCACAGGCCCTAGGTGTAACTGCAATTGGCTATAAGTATGACAATCCTGGAGCGATGTGTGGATTACTACTACCACTATTCCAATGAGTGGTAACGTCGTGACGTCATCCGCACGCTCCTCCCCAACACGTTTTGTCACAGATCACGTGATTTTATCATGGAGATATCTGACGCGTTGTGTCACAGATCACGTGACTTTATCAAGGGGATATCCCCTTGATAAAGTCACGTGATCTGTGACGAAATGCATTGGAGAGGAGTGTGCGGCCATTCATCATTACCATTCATCAAAATAGTGGTAGTAGTAATCTATTTGTTACAACAATACAAATCTCCTGGCTTGATTCTGAGCCTGGACATACACAAAACATTTGATTCCCTTTCTTGGGAATATATGTACTATGCCTTTGAAAAATGGGGCTTCCTGCCTATTTTTATATCCTGGGTGCAAACCCTCTATCATGGACCCTCTGTCACAGTTTGTTACCTCTCCAGACAATCCTCCCCCTTTCCTATCCAAAGAAGAACACGCCAGGGATGCCCTCTGTCTCCAATACGTTTTTGTTTTAGCCCTGGAACCTTTGCTTTGCCTTATCAGAACCAACCCAGATGTGAAAGGAGTCACATTCGCCCATCAATTTTTTAAAGTTAGTGCATTCGCAGATGACCTAATATTGATGCTGACTCAACCGCACACATCCCTACCCACACTTCTTTCCATTCTAACCAAATGTTCCACCATATCAGGTTTAATAGTAAATTAAGGTAAATCTTCGGCATTTAACGTTTCCCTCCCTGCAGCAGATGTGAACTTGCTAAAACAAAATTTAAATTTTGCCTGTCCCATAAACATCTGGAATACTTAGGGATTAATCTTAAAACCTGTACCATACTCTCTACGAAGCCAATTATACCCCAATTTTCCTTAAAAACTCTACTTGTCACCTGGTCACACCAACCCCTTTCGTGGATGGGTAAGATGAATGCGGTGAAAATGACTATTCTCCCCAAACTACTACATTTATTCCGCACTCTTCCTGTCCCAGTCCCCTCTTATTCCATGAAATCCTTCCAAAACCACGTCTTACATTTTATATGGGCCAATAAAAGATTTTCTTTTTCTGGCTCTCCCACAGGGATGCCATATGAACCATGAGGTGTCTTATACGTATCCTTCACGATACCTCTTTATACCAAAGTTGGCTGATGAATCACGAATATTTAGTACCTATTGTATATCAACTAACTAATTAACACATACAGTATGTTTTACTTCTAATCAAATAACAAATTGTTTATAACATTACTTATTTAAACTTTTTTCTACTCCCATATGACAATCATTAGCAGATGTTTATTTTTGCATCCTGGTATTATGTACTAGTGTGAGGTCATGTCTGATCTTTGTATTTAAAATTGTTAAAAAAACACAATAAAAATGATTGAAAGGAAAAGCTGTTTCATGGCCAGGTGTGGGCTATTCCTTCGTTATTTCTTCACCAATTAAGCAGGTAAAAGGTCTGGAGTTGATTCTAGGTGTGGTATTTACATTTGGAATCTATTGCTGTGAACCTACATGCGTTCAAAGGAGCTGTCCAGGCAAGTGAAACAGGCCATTGTAAGGCTTCAAAAATGAAACAAATCCATTAGAGAGATAGCTGATTGGTGACGCTTCACAGTACAGATGGACAATGATCCACAACACA